GGGGTGTGTGCAGGGAACAGCCTGACTCAGCTTGGCAGGGGGTGGCGCACAGCTTGTGGTGAAGGGTTGCCCAGAGCCAGGCCCGATCCCAGCAGGGACAGCGAGAGAGCCCCCATCCTGGTGCCCCCGCCACGCCCTGTACCCACGCCCCCCCTTGCCTGCCCGTGCCCCAGTCCCCCCTTACCTGTTTGATGCGGGAGCGCCCCGGCGAGCTGCGCCGACGCCCCTTCTCCCCCTCGCCCTTGGCCCCAGCGCCTGGCTCGAAGAGCAGCGAGTCGTCCGTCTCGGCCAGCGAGTCGGTGCAGTGGGGCAGGGAGCCGGCGTCGTCCTTCTGCAGGCTGTCAGTGGAGGTCATGCCCAACTCCATGGAGAGCGAGCCCCCGCCCTCGGGGTCCGGAGAGCCCAGCAGGGGCTCCGAGCCGGGGAAGCTGCTCCTGGTGTCGCCCTGGCTCAGGTTGGAGATCTCGTTGACGATGTCTGACTTGATGAGGGTGGGACGGGGCCGCAGGATGGGGGGCTCGGGGCCCACTTCCTCCCCACGCTCCAGCAGCTTCCCGCCCGTCCCATACACCTCCATCGGGGTGGCTGGGCCCAGCTCCTCGGGCTCCAGCAGCATGGGGGACCCCTTAGGCTCGCTGGTGAAGCTGACCGGGGTCTGGCTGGACTCAGGGTCCCCCCGGCCCCGGCTCTCCTCCAGCCCGTCCTCACTCAGTGGGGGAGAGCCCCTCCCCTCGGCCCCTGCCTGCTCCAGCCCGGCAGCAGTCTCCTCCTCTTCCTCCCCCGCCAAGCCTGGGAACGGCCCCAGGGCCACAGCTGGGGTGGGCTGGGCGCCATCCTCCACAGGGCTGGCCAGGGACCCCGCCTCGCCCCCTGCCGTGTCCATCCCCTCCTCCTCCCCACACTCCATCGCTTCCCTGGGCTGCAGGGGGCCCAGCTGGGGAGCAGGGGAGCCCGGCAGGGGGGGCTGCGGGGGGGCGTCTCTGTCCGGGGTGGGGAGGCGGCAGCAGGCGCCTTCTCCATGGGGGGCTGGGGGCTGCCCGCAGGCTCCAGCAGGGCCGCAGTGATGGCAGGGGGCCCCGCTGGCTGCTCGGGGGCCGGTTCCTCTTTGGCATCCGGTGGCCGCTCCTCGGGGCAGGCGGGCGACGTGGCAACGGGGGGGTCTGGGGAGAGAATCAAGGGCGACGGTCACTCTCGTGGGGGTGCAGAACTCCCAGCCCCCAGAGGGTTAACAGCGCCCTACTTCATTGGTCGGCTCGGAGCCTCCCAAGCAGAGGACCCACCCCCAGGGGGGTTCATGGGGCACCCCCTCACCTGGGGGGGCTGGGGGTTCAGGGGCCGTCTCGGGGGGTATCGGCTCTGTCGCCTCGTCCTTGGCAGGTGCTGCCGGGCCTGGCGCCTCCTCCGGCTCCTCCGCCTCTGGAGCGGGACCTGGGGGACAGGACAGCTGGTTGTGGGCGGGCAGGAGGGGGAGACCCCACCTCGCCCACTCCCCAAATGCAGCGCCCAGCACCCGCAGGCCAAGCAGCGCCACCTAGTGCCTCCTGGCAGGCAGCGCAGGGCCACTGGGCTCTGCCTGGGCTCCCACCCCCTCCCTCAGGGATGGGGGCGCAGCCTGGGGGACACGCAAACACCCCACTTGCCCCACGTTCCCTGGGCTCTCCCAAGCTCCAGCCTCTCTGCAGGGCCACCCAGACAGAAGCAAATACGACCGCTGGCTTAAAGAAGGGGAGAAACTGAGGCACAGGGGGAGGGACTGGGCCCAAGGTCCCGCAGCAGGTCAGTGCTGGAGCTGGGAATAGAGACCAGGGCCCTTCCTCCCAGCTGTGGTGAAGAGGCTGATGGAAACTTGTGGCACCAAGTAGCCAGGGCCCCCCCAGTGCTGTGGGGCCGGCGTGGGGTGGGGCATGCGCTCACCTAGTGGTTTGGCTTCACACTCCGCGGGCATCTCTTCCTGGGGCACGGCCCCATCCGGCTGCGGGTGCTTCTGCTGCCCTTGACACGCCAGGCAGGTGGAACCCCCTGCCATGTCGCTGCCATCCGGGGGCAAGGGCCTGGGGGGGATGAGCCACATAAGGAGTGTCTGAGAGCCCCTGACCCATCCGGCCGGCCAGAGATGCTGTGAGGATCCTCCCCCCTCCCCGGGTCCCCACACTGGGGCTGCAGCTAGAACACACTCTGGACCCAAAACCACCCACCCGGTGGTGCCCACGGCCCCTCCCCTGGCACCTGCTGCACTGGGCTGAGCAGCTTATAACGGGGGGGGGCGGGGAGGGCTATCCAGCACAGCCAGGCCCAGACCCTCCTGCCCCCCTGCAGGACCCCCACGCACTTCCAAGGGGACCCCCTTTGCAACTCACTTCTGGCAGCTCTGGCAGCGCCGCGCGGCATCAGTGCCTCCCGCCGCGTTCCGGTGCCGCTGACACCCTTCACACACCGAGTAGTTCTCATACCAGTGGCACCCGGGGTCGAGCGCCGCTGGCCGTGACCCACAGTCAGAGCACACCCGACAGTTCTGCAAGGAGACAGACAGTCAGGGGGGCAGAGAATGGGACACGGGGCCTTCCCCCTCTAGGGGGCAGTGGATCTGATCTGACCTGACCCCAAGGCAGGGGTCAGGGCTGGCTGGCTCAGTGGGGTGGGGAATGGGGCATTTCCCCTCTGGGTGGCACCCACTCTGACCAGGCCCCAGGGCAGGAGTGGGGGACTGGCTGGCTCAGGGTCGGTGCTGTGCAGGGATTTCCTCCCCTTGGATTATGGGGGAGGTGGGCCTGGGGGTCCTGGTCCCTCCCCCGGGGGCGCTGGCATCAGGTGAAGCAAAGCAGGGCCAGCTCCATGGGACGAGCTGCCAGGGTCCCGGAGCAGATGCCACCCTGGCAGTCGGCCGGGCCCGTCCTCCCCGGGGCGCCCCCTGCAGGCGATGCAGGTGTGGAGCCCACCTTGCACTTCCAGGAGTCCGTGGGAAGGCTCTCGATGGCCGGCTTCAAGCAGAACGTGTGGTAGCCCTTGTCACAGGCCTCGCACACCAGCATCATGGAGTCCGCGCCGGGCTGTCTGCAGGGAAGACGCTGCTGTCAGACAAGCCCCAGGCCCCTCACAGACTGAGCGCCGCCCTGGCCTCCCCACAGCTCTCTGGAGAGAGCAACGCTGAGGATAGAACCCAGGAGTCCGGACTCCCAGCCCCCCGCCTCTAACCCACTAGACTCCCCTCCCCGAGCTGGGCATAGAACCCAGGAGTCCTGGCTCCCAGGCCCTGTCCTTGCTGTAACCCACTACACCCCACTCCTCTCAAAGAGCTGGGGATAGAACCCAGGAGTCCTGGCTCCCAGCCCACCCTCCCCAGACCAGGAAGGCTGGTGCGGGTCACACAGGGCCCGTACCCGGGGTTTTGCCACCTACCTGCATGTTTGGCAGACTTTGCACTCGGGACACTGCCAGCCAGAGCGCTTGCGTGGCGTGACGGGGACGTCCAGGCAGGTGCCGTGGTAGTGCAGCCCACAGCTGGTGCAGAAGAGCAGGTCGCGCAGGTCCCCCGGCCCGTCGCAAACCATGCATCGCGAGTCCTCTGGGTGTGGGGGGCAGGGAGTCAGGGAAACAAACCCTCCTGCACCCACACTGCCTGGGATGCCCAGCCTCTCCCTCTCCCCTCAAAGCCCTGTGCCATAGACCCTGCCCACCCTCTAGGGCTTCCCCCTGGCTAGCAGCATCCTCAGCCCCCCCCACAACACACCCTCCCCCTCAAGGATCTCACACCACCTCACCGACATCCATCACAGCAGTGACAGATCCAGGAAGAGAACCCAGAAGTCCTGGCTCCCAGCCCCTTCCCACCCACTCTAACCACTAGACACCATTCCCCTATCTGAGTCCTGGCTCCCAGCCCCTGCTCTAACCACTAGACCCCACTCCTCCAGCTCCTTAAGCCTCCCATTATCCCCTCCAAAACTCCACCAACCCAGTGGCAGAGGTGCCCCCAAGCAGCCCCTGTCCCTGCCCTTCTTCACGGGGCGGCACCTACCCATCTGCACTGCCTCGGTCACGTGCTCCGGGCACAGGAGCCGGAGGGTTTTCATGGACTGGAAGGAGCCGCTGGCCGCCGCGCACGGGAAGTGGTAGTGCCGCACACACCCCTCCGAGTGGCACTGAATGGTAGCACCCATCCTCTGACAGTGTTCACATTTCTGAAAGCAGCAGGGACCCCAGCCCGGGTTAGAGATGCGGATGGATGGACGCTGCCGCAGCTTGGCTCCGCCGGGGCAATCCCCAAGAGCCCACCAGCCCCCACATGCGGCCACCTCTGGGGTGAGGTGCGGCAGCTGCTTAGCGCTATGAAGCAACATGAGGCAAGGATCCCTCATCTGGGGCTGAGATGCAGCCACCTCTGGGGTGGGACAGAGCAGCTGCTCGCACAGTGATCGCTCACGCAGCACAGATACGCAGACACCCCCTGAGGGGAGCAGGGCAGCTGATTAACAGCCTGGCAGTTTAGGACAGGAAGTGAAGGAGAAGCCCTTAGCGGGGCGCAGCCTGTGGGTGGGAAATCAGGGAGGTAAATGCAAACACCCCTTTGGTGTTTGCCCAGGAGGCCAGGGTTCGTGTTGAGAGCCCCAGGGGCAGGGCCTCACTTTTACACCTCTTATGGGGGCAGTGCCTGTGGCAGCATCGGGACCCCTGCGCTGGCAAAGGGGAATGTCCCGTTCCCCCACTCCGTCCCTTCCTCAGAGCTCTCCCCTCCGGAGGGGCAAACACTGGCTCCACTCTGATTAGCCAGACACCCCACATGAGCGCAGCCCAATGGGTCGCCTACCCCCACCACAGCCGCCCCAATGCCGGGGGCCCACAGGCCCTCCTTCCCCTTCCCATTTGCTCGCCCCCCACCCCCTCACCTGCGAGATCCCTGAGAAAACAGCTTTGTCCACGTCGCTCAGCCCGGCTCCGGCCTGCCGCTGCACCCCTGCCGACCAGGCAGCACACCAGTGGTGGGCCCAGCAGTGCCCTGCGAGGGGAGGCAAGGTGTTAAGGGGGGGAGGGTCGGGGGAGGAGCCCCCCCATCCTTCTCCAGAACTCTGCCAGTGAGTGGGGAGCCCTCCACAGAGACATCTCGGGACCCCACGGAGGGGGCACAAAGCGCCTGAAAAGGAAGGAGACACCCGAGCTCCACAGCAGCCTTTGCGCTTGTGTCCCTGGGCGGGGGGGCACTGGCAGAACGAGGGGGTGTGAGAGGCTGGGGTGGCAGGGGCAGCAGGGGCACCAGTACAGCTGGGGGTGGGGAGCCTAAGGCTGGGGCAACAGGGTGCAGGGGCAGCAGTGGCACCAGCAGACCTTGCGGAAGGAAGACGCTCGCCCCATGCTGCTTACCTGTTGGCTCGAAGAGCTCTCCTGGCGACACCCCCTCCGCGAAGCCGATCAGGGACAGGTCGTCCCCAGGGGCCAGACTCTCGCCAGGGCCCCTCCCGGCCGGCAGCCCGGAGAGACGCTCAGTCCAGTCGGGCGCCGGCTCGAAACGCTGGAGCTTCCCCTGCCCATGCAGGCGCCACTCGCCGCAGTTGCAGAGGGCGCAACGCCTGGGCAGGGCGCTGGGGGCGGAGACGAGAGCAGAGTCAGTGGGGGCAGGGTGGGGGGCCCCCAGAAACACATTCCCCTCCCCCCCTCCAGTCACGACCCCTCCAATGTTCTCCTGCACCCATGTCTCCTTCCCGTCCCTGGGGGGCAGAGGGCATCCCGGCATCCCCCTGGGCTTTTGGGTCCCAGCACCGATCGGGCAGCTCCATTTGGCTTCCCTACAAGACAGGGGATCAGGGGCATCATTCAGGTGGGACGGACCCACTCCCCTCGTCTGCTCCCTGCCCTAAATCACAGCCCCCAACTCCTGGCTCTGCTCCCCTTCCCCCACCACACCCAGTGTCGCAGGTGTCCCATCCCCCAACACTCACCTGCAGGCCTGGGGCGGCTCCTTGGCTTCCGGCTCCTGGGCAGTGGGGGCCCCTTCCGGCGGCTTCAGGGGGTCTCCTTCCACGCCACCCCGCTCTTCCAAAGATGCACCCCCGTCGGCTGCAAC